AGGAAGGCAATGACAAAATGCTGTGACTTGAATAAACACTGTGGTTCTTTATTTAGTTTTGAAATACTTGGTTTGCATTGATCCAGACACTGTCCTATGTTTGCAGTGGCATGGAGAAGTTGTTGCTTCTTAAAAGAGAGAAAACTTTAAAAGTCCACTTTATAAAAAATATGTGCCTTTCGGGGTATTACAACAGATCTGGTGCCTGGGAGACAAAATAAGACGGTACTTATAGATAGAAAAGAATATTGGTAACTTAGGACTCAACTGAACTGGAGGTGTTTACCATTGTGAGATGGGTAACTACACAAAATAAATACATAAATAATTTTTTCACATTTCTAAAGCCTGCAGAGAAGAAATGCATGTTTCAGAGCACTGTAATACATATCACTTCAGCCTGCTATATAGAGGCCAAACTTAATTCCAGTTGCAATCAGATTTTCAAATTCTGGTAAATTTGAGGAGTAGCATGGTTATCACTTAGCATCACTGCAACCAAAATATCTTTTAAAGCATATAAAGTGATTCCATCCTAATGATGGAAAGAAAAGCAAGCAGAATCACATGCCTATATTGTACTCTTAACATTCAGCCAAACACAGATTTGTCTGCCCCAAACATTCTTATACTTTTTCACTCCTGTATTGGTTTTTTTCAGTTTAAAAGGCAAGCTTTCCAAAACAAATCTCACTGCTTGAGAATAGCTTAATTCCATTAAACAAAGTAGTAAAACAAAGGAAAAAAACTTCAGCAGATAAATATAAATTATAAGCAATGAGATTCGTGAGAAACTTTAAAAAAAAAACACATTTGAAATACTGCCCTGCCTTTGTTATAAAATACATGGGGTTAACACACTTACTTCTACCACCATCCAGAATACCTTGCAAGTTAAACATTAAAGATCATTTGTTAAATGTACCATAAATGAAAGAACACTGTACACTCAAAATATAGGTTGTCCTCTAAAAGTTAACCTCTATTTCATTTCTCATTAGAAAGAGAAGAAAGAGAAAGAAAACCATTCAAGAAAGTACAAAATGCAGTGATTTATCGCCACCTCAAGGTATTTTGAGGCATCACACCTCCAAATCCCCCCTAAAATTATCGTCAAACATAGTCATTGGGCCACCCAATTAAAACTACCTACCACATCAAACATACATTTTTGGTAACTAGGAATCATTATGAATCCTTCCCCTATCAATGAGTTTTCAAAAAAAAATGCATCCATTCATAAGTGTGATTGAATCTAATTGCTTTATTTGATTGAGTGATTGATTGATTGATTGATTTCGAACCTCTCTTTTCTGCACACAGCATACATAGTATTCCACCTTCTAATTTTTCCTATAACAGTAATTCTGTGAGGTTTGTTGGACTCACAGATTGACTGGTCCAAAGAATACCTATTGAGCTTTAATATCTGAGGTAAGCTAGAACTTGGGCTTTGCCTATGCCAGTTTAAATCCGTAACTGACTCTCTTTACAACTAGAACAGTTCTAAATAAATTAAAAATACCTTGAAAGAGTAAATTAGTATTTTTTTTAAAGTAACTCAGAAGGTCTTTCTTCTTTTACTATGAAACAGAGAGGGTATGGAACAGTTCTCTGCTAAATTTTGCCTTCTGCAAAAGGGGATTTTTGAGGGGAAGGGATGGGGCGCTGGTTTAATCTTTCTCCTCCAAGTAGAAAATCTTTACCATCTCAGTGGAGAAAACAAAAGAGATTGTTACAAAGTGTGGTGGCAAAGAGGTATTTTATATTGAAAATAACTCTTCTGCATATGGTCAAAACAAGCCGATAGTCCTACAATTTTAAAGTCAGCAGACCTTCCTACAATGATCAGATAGTGACTCCACATTGCATAACCACAACAGAACCATCCCAGAAGATTTGCAAAAAGTCCTTTGTGTGAAGACAGAGATCAGCCAAACAGGCAGGAAAAAGTTGTCAAATTTCTGGAGAAATCTGTTTTTCCTTCTCTTTATTGCACCCTTAATTTTGCCATGCAAATGTAAAATCATGGGTGAAAACATTCTCTAGCGCAGGGATGTCAAACGCAATTTCATTGAGGGCTGCATCAGGCTTGTGTTTGATCTCAGGGCCCAGGGGGGTGGGCGTAGCCAGGGTGGTATTTTATGCTCACTGGCAGAGGCACCGCAGGCCGGTCCTTCATTGTTTCCAGGGTGGCCCCACAGGCCAGATCTAAAGGCACCACTGGCCGGATCCACCCCATGGGTCACAGGCCTTGAGTTTGACACCCCTGCTCTAGAACTTTAGATGAGAAACACATCAGGAAAATTAAACTACATAAATTCTCAGTTTATTCAGGACTGACAATTTTTATAAGAGTGAAGAATCTGAATTCCACATAATGATAAATTGTCCCAGACCGCCCCCCCGCAAAAAAAATAATCACTCTAAAATAATTTGGAAAGTCTAAAGAACCACGTGTATCATATCCAGTTTACACATAGCCAAAAGTATTTTAAACAAAAGTCAAATATTAGCATGCCAAGAATCAATTAAGTATGTTTAATTTATGAGTTTACTATGCAAATGAATTGAAATATTCGATTGGAAATATATTTACTAAAGCATTTGAAAAAAAAATTAAGATATATGAGTAATTTTCAGCTTACAACTGTTGGTTTAACAATGGTTCAAAATTATAATGGTCTTAGAAAAAGTGTTTATAACTTTTGTCACTTATGACTGTCTCTCTCAGACACGTAATCACTATTTGGGTACTTCCCAACCGGCCCACATTTATGACCGGTTATAGCATCCTGAGCAAATATAGTTTCAATCTATAACTTTTCCAGTACCAATGTCAACTGGAGAAGCTGGATTCACTTAAACAACTACAATGATTCACCTAACAAATGCAGTAAAAAATAGTCATAAAATAAGGTCCAATTATGTATGACTTGCTTTATGACTGCACCAGTTTACTATGGAAATTCTGGTCCAAATTGTGGCTGTAAGTCAAGGACCACCTGCTTGGCTTAACAGCCTATAGTTTTCTTTCTTTATTAGATTTCAGCAGTACAATCCAATACGTTTTCACTTGGAAATTTCCCACCGAGTTAATGAAGTCAACCTTTTAGTAAGTTTGCTTTGTTGTTGTGTTATTGCAGCCTAAGGAAAAACAAATGGAAGATCTGAAAACTGCTAATATGCTCGTTTTAGAATTACCAAATTGCTATGTGTATAAGTGTATGTTCTACCTACAGATACATAAGGGGGAAAAAAGCAATAATTACAAGTTTGATTTTTAGTGTAATGGTGCCCTATTTAGTTATTTAGTTATTTAATCTAATTCTAGGCTAAAGTCTTATTTTGAAGCACCGTAACTTTCATGGAGCTCAACTGAATGGGGAAAAAATGATTAAAACACAACAGCATGAAATTACTGTTGCTTAAACCTTCACTGCGTACTGTACTGAATGAAAGTTCAGGGAGGAACTTTCAGGGAGGAGAAAAATCAATGCATACCTAAAATTCATACAGTGAAGGTCTCTATAAGTCTAAAATCTTGAAATAGCAGCTTCACAAATACCAAAGGAGAGAATGGTCGGTCATACTGTCCAAAAAATCAAACTTAGAGGAGTTATTTATTCCTAGATAATGCTCTTACAAGTGACAGCAAACTTATTGTGATTATTAGTGTCTTAAAAAAAAATCTAGCAAGTTTTTTTTTTAACACAACACTGGTTGTGTTATATGCCAGACTGGTTACCTTATTTGAAAATAGCTTAGTAGCTAATGGCATGTATAATAGTTTTGTGTAAAAGGATGTCCCACTGAAAACGCCACATTCTATCAGGAATAGTAGCAGCAAAGCACATTGCAATTACTTAAATAAACATTACTAGTACAGTACATGAATAGGACAGCCCTGTGACTATATCAGCTATGGGAAAGAACATAACTGATATAACAACTAAGCTGGTGACAGATACTCCTGGTTAATGTGTTCATTTAGGCCCTTGATAACAATGGTAAAACTATATGTACCCGCTACTCAATTCTGCATATTTCTAAGTACAACAAACAGGTAGTTCTTGTTTAGAAACCACATTTGTGACTTCAAATTAGCTGTCAAATGAAGTAGTTGCTCAATGAAACTGACTGTGCTTATGATCTCACTTCAGCTTTCCTTGATTTAGCAGAGCTAAAACAAATAAAATAAAAAGATTTAAAGGGAAGGACAGAGAAGGAAATTCTTCTAACTTCTTTCTCCAAAAGAAACAGCTCTCCCTGGAAAAACTTTCCCCAGGGGGAAAGACCCCTATCTATGGAAAATAATTATTTAAAACTTATCAAGATTAAGAGTCTTTCAATATGCAGTCTCATCCAATGTATCATATCCATGCCATAGGCAACTGATTTTTCCCTCATTCTCCTTATTCTATATATTATTATATATTGAGACTATAACCCATCTTCCTTGCAGAAGAGAGCTCACTTTTCTTCCATTATTAAATTCAAGGCAACACAAACTAAGATTTCACATTCTCATGTCTATATAAATTGACCCAACGTATAGAATTGTAATATCTGGGTCATGGTATTACACATATGAAGACAGCCCTGAATCTCTGCTCTGTTCTAACTAGAAGTATATGTGCAGTGAGATGTATGGAGACATCAGGTATATTTTTGTGCCATATGGTACATAATACCAACACATCAAATCAATATGAATAAATTCAATATCAAGCAAAACCAACCTCCATGCTTCTTGTGTTAAAATGGCAGTCTTCATTCTTCACAACAATTTTACTTTACAGGGGATCCATTGGTGAAAATGAATTTTATTAATTTTGTTATTCTATATTTTTGCATTGCATTTGAACACTAAATTTTCAAGGAAAGTAAAGCACACAAATCTGGACTCGGCATCAAATATTATCAGGTAGCATCAATATTTGTATATAAAACATTTGATTTCAAAATCAGCAACCAAATCAAAACCTTGAATAATTTACCTGGTTGCTTAGAAGACTCCCAGCCTGAGGTTTTCTCAGCATATTGAGGTCCTTTGGGCTTGAATCCTGCTCCAGACTCAGCTGAAATAGTTCTACTGGCACCATTTTCTGGGTTTTCAGGCATGCTTCTTACTGCAGAAGCAGTACAAGTAGTAAATTGTGTGGGTTCCAAAGAATCGCTGTTTGAAGAAAAAAAAATATTAGTTCAGCACAATCCCCAAACAAGCACAATGATTCAATGGAAATGTTCTTTTATATAAATACAAAGAAAATTATTTTAATTTATTATCAGAAAGGCTGCTCCTTCACTGTTTGTTCTCAATTTTGCACACACTACTGCAAATCCCATAGGACACCCTAATCCAGGGGTCTTCAGACTTGACAGCTTTAAGACTTGTGGACTTCAACTCCCAAAATTCCTCCTCCAGTCATGTTAGCTCAGGAATTGAATGGGAGTTGAAGTCCACAAGTCTTGCCAAGTTTGAAGACCCTTGCCCTAATCCATACTCTTTGCATGTCATCCATACTTGAACTGTTTCAGATATCCGTATCGTTCATTGTAATTTATAAAGATCTTGTTTAAATTGCTTTTTATGACAGAGATAGTTGTTCCCTTTCCAATTTCCCAGAATTCTGAGCCTTCAGTTAATGCTAAGACATGCTCATGTGAAACACATTTGATTGATTTGTTTTTAATAATAAATATAGTGGTATTTTTCAAAGTCCAGAAGGATTCATTTTCACAGTGTATAAAACTACTTTCTTCAAAACCATGAACAAAATTTCAGATGTAAGCACCCAAAGAAAGAGGAACTGCCTTTCACAATTCAACCCCAGACTAGAAAATCAACAATTAGATACGTACCCACAAGTTTAGAGTTAAGATTATGAATATAACTGTCTACCAGTCCATGTGTTCACATTATACTTTCTTTAAAATAAGGAAGGCTAAACCAAGCCTATAACATTTGAGGGCCTTCCTGTTCATTTATTCCACCTCAAAAAATGGTTCTGGTTATTAGTGCAGCAAGAATATATTTTACTGATTGCATTTAATATCCATCATTTATCTGATTAAAATTTAAATCCAGCAAATATGAAAGAGTTAACATGTCTTACGGCAAGAAAATACTATGTGTATCATATACATAACTGGTAAGATCTACTGGTTTAGAGAAAGTGAGAATTGAAGCAATTTGGGTGGGAGGGAGTTTACATTTTGGGAAAGGACAAGTTTCTCTTGGATTTAGTTCTAAGTTTTCATACAGGTTAAGTCACTTTGGAAATTCTGTAATTTCACAATTAAAACATTGGTCTGATTTAGTAAATCTGCTTGAAAATATTCCAAAATAAGTAACTGTAGGAAAGCATCCTCAAAGTATACATTACAATAATTACAGCGTTTGGCTTGCTCTTTTCTAAATACAGGTAGTCCTTGACTTACAACCACAATTGAGCCCAAAATTTCTGTTGTTAAGCGAGGCATTTGTTGAGTGACTTTTGCCCCACTTTACGACTTTGTAAATGAATCCCTGCAATTGATTAAGTTAGTAACCTGGTTGTCAAGTGGCTTCCTCACTTAACTTTGCTTGCCAGAAGGTCGCAAAAGGTGATCACTTGACCCTGGGACACTACAACTGTCGTAACTATGAACCAGTTGCCGAGCATCTTTTGATCACATGATGGATGATGGGGAGGCTGCAAAGTCCGTAACTGTGAAAAGTGATCACAAGTCACTTTTTTTCGGTGCTGTTGTAACTTTGAGTGGTCACTAAATGAACTGCTGTAAGTTGAGGACTTCCGGTAGTAAAGCTATGTAGACTTTAAGGTTCTGCCTGTGGTTGATGGTGGCAGTTTCCACAAAAGTATTAATAGAACAAAAGTTCCTATCGTCATGGAAGTCTTTTTATGTATCTTTCAAGATCCATTCTACAAGTGTATGATTTTTTTAAAAAATAGCAAGGAAAGTCCTTTTCCCCTTTAACATTGCTATGGAAGTCCTGCTAAACAATGAAGACTGCATTAAGTCTATGGACTAACAAATATGAAAGTGGCTTCAAGCATGATTTTGCTGAAGAATATGGTTTATTTTATTTTATTTTCATTGCACCTCGTACAATGAAATCAAACCCCATCTTCAGTGCACATCATGACCATGACCATGAAAATAAACACAAACACACATCCTTCACCCTTCACTCATTGAACCGAAAACCCCCGATACCGCACCAACATTGCACTATACAGCAGAATTCAAAAGAGCTACTGCCCTGGGGCAGAAGCTGTTTTTCAGCCTATTTGTCCTTGTTTTTATTGTCTTGTACCGTCTGCCAGATGGTAACAGTTCAACAAAAGGGTTCCCAGGATGAGATGGATCTTTGAGAATGTTTTGAACTTTCTTAAGGCAGCGGGAGCTATAAAGCTCTTCCAAAGAGGGGAGAGGGCAACCAACAAAGTAACATAAAGAATTCTGCTGTCTCTTGGTCTCCTCTTGTTTAAATTTGTGTACTGTTCAGTAGGTTTCATGCCTACTCTCTCTGGGTTAAGATAAAACTGCTTTATCTTAACCCAGATATCGCAGGCACGAAACCTACTGAACAATACACGAATTCAATGAAATTATGACCAGACATTCAAGGTAGTCCTCGTCTTACGACCACCATTGAGCCCAAAACATTTCTGTTGTTGAAACAGTGAAGTGAGTTTTGTCCCATTTTATGATGTGCCTTGACACAGTTGTTAACTGAATCCCTGCAGTTGTTAAATTAGTAACATGGTTGTTAAGTGATTCTGGCTTCCCCACTGAGTTTGTTTGCCTTAAGCTTGCCAGAGGTGATCACGTGACCCCAAGACTCTGAAACAGACATAAATATGAGTCAGTTGCCAAGGGTCAGAATTTCGATCATGTGACCATGGGAACGCTGCAATGGTTATAACTGTGAAAAAGAGTCACTTTTTTCACTACCTGACTCTGTTGTTACATCCTCTAATCCCCGCTCCCTTAACCTCAAACTACTATTGACCTCACCCCATTCCTAAGAGGACATGCCTAAGTGCACCATCGTGTCTACCGTCCCTGTCCTACTGTCCCCATTTATTCATACCTATTTCCTGTATCCTTACTCATGTTTATACTTTTACCTATTATCTTGTAAGCAATTGACAAACCAAATAAATAAATAAAAATAAATAGACTTTGAACAGACACTAAACAAATGGTTCTAGGGTGAGAACTATCTGTATTGCCAAACGCATTTAAACATGTGAATTTATACAGAAAGATACATGAAAAGTGGCACGACCCATGCTATTAAAGCTAAACTTAGAGGCATGTAACTAGAAACTGGGGGCATTTTAAAGGGAGGAAAGCTGAGGTTTAGCTGAACAATTGGCCTCACATGAAACTTTTGATTTATGACACACGCTATGCCTATTGAGGTTGGCAGGAGTCCTTCTGTCAACATTTGCAGTAGACCTCACACACCAATAATATTGGAACTAGTTTTGTAAGGCGTTCATTACCAAAACAGAGAACATTTTGAGTTCCTGTGGCTGCATTCCCTCCGGGTTTCCTTCCAGGGTTAATCTTCATATCGTACTTAAGTAATTATGGAAATGTTATCAATATGCAACATGCTGATTTTAAAAAAAATGCAGCTTGCTTTCTAGTATAATTCTATGCATTGGAGATTGATTAATGGATCATGGTGTAAGGGAAGAAAAGACTACAAGAATTGGGCATCTGTCAAGTTATCATATCCAGCAAAAAGATACCAGAGTTCACATGAGGGCAACTGGGTATATTTTTCAAGTAAATCTATTTTCATCATCGTGAAAGAGTTCAGAGGAAGGAAGGAAGGAAGGAAGGAAGGAAGGAAGGAAGGAAAGAAGGAAGGAAGGAAGGAAGGAAGGAAGGAAGGAAGGAAGGATAGATACGGGAATGAGAGAAGGAAGTAAGTTAGGAAGGATATGGGAATGAGAGAAGTTAGGAAGTTAGGAAGGAAGGAAGGAAGAAAGGGAGGAAGGGATGGATGGATATGGGAATGAGAGAAGGAATTAAGTTAGGAAGGAAGGAAGGAAGGAAGGAAGGAAGGAAGGAAGGAAGGAAGTTAGGAAGAAAGGATGGATATAGGAATGAGAGAAGGAAGGAAGTTAGGAAGGAAGGATATGAGAATGAGAAGGAAGGAAGTTAGAAGGGAAGGAGGGAAGGGCGGTAGGGAGGGAAGAAGGAAGGAAAGATATGGGAATGAGAGAAGGAAGGAAGTTAGGAAGGAAGGAGGAAAGGAGGATGGATATAGGAATGACAGAAGGAAGTTAGGAAGGAGGGAGAGAGGGAGTAAGTAAGTAAGTTGTATTTCCTTCTGTATTTAAAATCCTTTGGAGCTCAACAGGATTTTCATTTAAATTCCTATCTGGAACTTCAAGACCTCCATCAACTGTTTAGAGCATATTAATTATTGTATTTTAATCTAATTTTGCTATCCATAACAGATGGACAATCTGTTAATTTATGTAAGATCCAACTTTCAAAGCTTACAAAGCGATGTTATATAACCAGCATACCCATATGCCTCTGCAACATGCTATCACATTCTCTTTCACTCCTCCTACACATAATACTTTTACATCTGGATAGAGAGGAAATGTATGATAAGTAATGAACATCCATGCCATTCCAGCCCTTCCTATGAATTATTCAGACCAGTGGTGGGATTCCAATTTTTTTTCGTACCGGTTCTATGAGAGCGTGCTTTGCGTACACAGCAATCAACAACCGCCCTCTGTCAAGTGTTAGTGAAATGAGCTGTTTTTTAGCTCAGCTGAGGCACGGCAACCCGCTCTGCCAGGTGAATCAGCTGAACTAAAAAAAACAAGGAAATATAGGACAGATAGGGTGGGGGTGGGCAGGTGGGGCCAGCCACAGTTAGTATTTGCTGGTTCTCTGAACTACTCAAAATTTCTGCTACTAGTACGCCAGAACTGGTGCAAACCAACTGCATACCACCTCTGATTCAGATCCACTATGGCACTCATCAGTCAGAACAATGGCATTCTTCCCATTTTCCATACTACATCTTCCTTGGACAGCATGGGAAAAGACAAAAATGAAAACTCTCCAGTTAGCTACACCACATATAGGAAAAGGAATAAAGAGAGGCGGGGGCACATTAATTACTCT